GCCTTCACGGCGTCCACGGGGGCCCGAGAGGCCACCACGACTGCTCCAAGACAACCCAAGAGGCCTCCAAGACCGCCCCGAAACGGCCCGAGACAGCCCCAGAGGCGCCCAAAACGTCCCAGGAGAGGTCCAAGACGGCCCCCAAGAGAGGGAGCCCGAATCGATAATTCGAGCATTCCGCCCCATGATGCCCCCACGACGCCCCAAGAGGTACCCAAGTGCGCCCAAGTGACCCCCAAGAGGCCCCCAAGACGCCCCAAGAGGCTCCCAAACGGCGCCCAAGAGACTTCAAAACTACACCCAAGAGGCGTATGTCCCACAGCCCAGGCACGGTACGGGCTGGGCCGAAGGCCATTCGAGAATGCCAACAGAGCCCCAACTCAGCTCCCCCTCACAACGCCAGAACGTAAAAACGCGCGCCGCAAGAACCCCATGGCTGCTACATTTTGAAGTTATTATCGCCGTTTCGGTGTTCAAAGCGCCAACGGCGGTCCAAGAGCCCCCCAGGAGGAGCCAAAGAGGCAGCCAAAGCAGCCTCGAGAAGGAAACCCCGTTCGACGCAAGGCAGCCCAAGAGGCCCCGAGGAGGAGCCAGGACGGCCCAAGACGGCCTTAAGATAGCCCAGGGAGCTCCCAAGACGACCCCGAGAGGCACCCAAGCTGCCTTAAGAGGGTGAACCCGAGCTGACCCTTCCAGTCCTCCCCCCCAAGAGAACCCCAAGAGGCCCCCAGAGGTCCCAAGAGACCTCCAAGAGGCCCCCAAGAAACCCCCAAGAAGTGTTTGAACGGTTTTGAAGGCTGTTTAGAAAGCCCCGCGAACTAAGAGGCCCCAAGAGGCGCTTACTCGCGTGCTGCCAGGCAAGATGTGCATGGTATGCCTTGGCATTGCTCGGACACGAATCGTGGTCGTCGTCGTCGTCGTGTTGATCGTGTTCGTGTTCGTGTTCGTGCTCGTCGTCGTCGTCATCGTCGTCGTCGTCGGTCGTCGTCGTTACCCCGATCTTCGGCCGTCGTCGTAATTATCCCGCTCGTCGACCGTTGATCGTCCGTTGTCGTCGTCGCCGTCCATTTCCGATAACATCAAGAGCGCCCAGGACTGGCGGCCCTGGCTGTAGGCCACTACAATAACGTGAATTGAGGGGCCCATAAGGAAGGGGCTCCCGCCTGAGACATCAGTGCAGGTCACCAGCCGACGAGGCTCCCGCTCGAGAGTTCCCCCATACTCAGGCCACAAGGGCCTACAAGTGACGACAATTCTAGGTTTGAGGACGACTAGCTCGGATTCGTAACATGACCTGCGGACCCCATAGGGAGCGGGTTCCCGCTCGAAACTTTCCTCGAGGTGAATTTGTGAATGTGTGAGTGTGTGTGTGTGAGAGAAAAAGTGAGGTGAGTGCGTGGGTGCGTGTGAGATGATGCCGATGGTGCTGATGGTGATGCTGATGCCCATGGTGTGAGCGCAATGGAGTGAGTGAATGATGAGTGAGTGAGTGCGGATGTGGATGAGAAGGACAGAGGGAGGAGAGGGGTGAAGAATTTCTGCGCGGGGTGCCCAGAGTAAACAAGAACCCGGCTTAGGATGTGAGAGACATGAACATAATTTTGCCGAGGATGGCAGGGGGGGCGGGCGGCGTGCTGCCTGCCGCGAGCAGGCCCAACATCTCTGTCAAACAACAAATGCAAAGCGATCGAGGGCGCACACCGGCACTCAACAAACCCGCCCTCGCTTTGCATTTATGTTTGGCAGGGACGGTGGGAGGATCGACATGTTGCCCAATGTGGCGATTCTGATGCGCGTGACGCAGCTGGTCTGTGCGGCGCACCTCGCGGGCTTCGCGCACCTTGCTGGCGTCTGCACTGGTTCCCGATGGTTGTGGATGCCGGCCCCTGTCCATGCTGAAACTCAGGTGCTACTTCTGTTTTGGGAGGGCGGGTGGGAATGAGCGAGACGGATTGTTGTTTGTGGGTCGCATGACCCCCCTCCCTGCCCTCTCCCCCTGGGTCCGGGCGGGGTTGGCGGTGAGCGGACACGGGGTCTAAGATGCCCAAGCTGGCTCCAAGAGGGCCCCAATATCCCAAGATGGCCTCCACAATGGGTCAACATAACTCAAAATCGCTCCGGATGGCTTCCAGCAAACTCCAAGAAATGCCAAGACCGCTGCAAGACGGGTCCACGCGGCCTTGGGGGCTCCACAGGACACCCCCAGCAGGCAGAACTCGTGCCAAAAAACCAGTAGGCAGTCATTTGTTGGGCCTTCTCGCCCGTTTTTCCGATCGCTTTCTGAGTTCTCAAGGAAGCTCCAAGAAGATCCCAGAAAGACATAGAATGGGGTCCAAGATGGCTCCAACCCTGCCCCAAGACCGCCCTAAGATAAGCTGTTAGGGGCATCCGTTCAGACATCCGTCTTGTTTCACTGATGCCCTCCAAGATGGTCCCTGAGGACACGACGAAGCCCTCAAGGGGCCCCCAAGGGGCCCCCAAGACACCCACAGATGTTGCCAATAACCCCCGAGACGCCCCCAATACGTCCTATGAGGCCACCAAAAGCCCCCCAGGAGATATCCCAAGAGACTCGAAGCATCCAAGAGGCCTCTAGCTCACTGAGGTTCCCCGAGGTATCCAAATGATGCCACGCCCCCCTGATAAGGGAAGCCCACCTAGGCACCGTTCCTGGATGGGCTGGTGGGGACATATTGTTTTTTTCTTACAGCCGCAGGCGGAAGCGCCAGCGGCGGGCGGTCGCGGGCGGGCTACGGCCGCGACTGAATTGCCGAGCGCGCGCGGGGGCTGGTGGGGACAAGCGAAGCGTTACGAGTTGGGTTGCGACTTGCACTGGGCAGAGTGCGGGGGTTCGAACTATGGCATGTGCCGTATGAGGTGTCATTGACAGGCTGGGTGCAACCAACGGGGCGCGATCCACGGAGCAACTGATGGCTGTAACTCAACGGGGAACGTCTACCAGGTGCAATTTGAAACGCGCAACGTCTGGTAGGGATTACAAGTCATGGGGTGCACTCGATGGGCTGCAAGGCTGCAACCGACGGGTGGGAACCGATGGATAGGACCTTCGAGGTCGGAGCCTATACAAGTGGTGCCGTACGACCAAGACTCCCAGAAAGCGAACGCCTCGGGGAAGAAATGATCTAATGGCACCAACATGACCGCTTGGCCGTTCCAGGTCGCTCCAAGAACTCCGTGGGGGCATCGCTAACAAGCCAAGAGGGCCCAGGAAGTCTCCGGGACAGCGCCAAGAGCCTGCACGAGGCCCCGACGAAGGCCATCAGAACCCAATGGCTCCGTCCACGAATCACCCAGGCAAGCATTGTTTTCATTATCGCCTGTCGCCTGTTTTGCCCGCAAAATATGTATCCCCGAAAGGCTTCTGGATTGCCCCTGGGAGCCGAAAGAAAACCCCCTGATTGCCCAAAATGACTTGAACAACTGGTCGGAATGGACCGGGGCGGAGAGCCGCTATTGCCTTACCTTACCCTAGGCCCTAGTTCGGGGCAGTGGAATCCCACCAGCCCTCTAGGCGTCGGTGGTTTAGGGAGTTTCCTCTTCTACTCCTCCTTCTTCCCCTTCGGGGAAGGGTTTATCCCTCCCCCTACCCCTTCCCCATGGACCTGGACAAGGGGTTCGCGAGGTGTCGGAGCGACCAAAACGGCCTCGGCGAGAGAGCCAAAATCATTGGTTTTACCAGGGTTTGGGCCCCATCTTGGCCTCCTTGGGGGGGGACCCAAATTAGTGCCCCCCCTCCTGTGATCGATCTTACCCAAGATGGCCCAAAGATGGCCCCCAAGGCTCCCAAGGGTGCCCCAAGAGGGTCCCAAGAGGTGGCCAGGAAGCCCCAAGAGGCCCCCAGGATGCCCCCATGGGGCTCCCAAGAGACCCCCAAGAGGCCCCAAGAGACCCCCCAGAGGCACCCAAGATGCTCCAAGAGGCCTCAGCGAGAATGCCAAATCATTGATTTTACTGAGTTTCAGCCACATGTTGGCCTCTTGGGGGGGCACTGATTAAGGTGACTCCAAGAGCGCCTGGGAGAGCCCAAGATGACCTCCAAGATGGCTCAAGATACCCCAAGATGTCTCATAATGGCTCCCACGATGCTCCAAGATGCCCCAAGACCGCCCCAAGACGGCTCCCAGTGGCCAAAGAGCTCCCCCAGGAGGCCCCGAAGAGGCCAACACCTGCGGAAATTCTATGAGGCCTCAAGGTGGCTCCAAGATGGCCCAAGAAGGCTCCAAGAAAGGCTCCAGAGAGCCCCAAGACGGCCCCAAGAGCGCCTAAGAGCGCTCCAAGAGCGCCGCAAGAGCGCCCCAAGAGGCGATTGTTTGGGCTCCCGAGGGGCAACGCTAACTAATGATCGCTTCTTGTTTGATCGATGTCCCCCAAGATGGCCCCAAGAGCGCTCCCAAGGCTCCCAAGAGCGCTTAAAGAGGGCCCAAAGAGGCGCCCAGGAGGCCCCAACAGGCGCCCAAGAGGCCTCCAAGATGCTCCCAAGAGACCCCCGAGAGGCCTCAAGAAGCTCACCGAGGGACCCAAGACGCTCCAAGAGGCCTCCACGGGGGACCCTTCCTCTGTGTGCTGCCCACTTCCCTGATCGAGGCAATTCCTCTGGGCATCGTTTCTGGATGGGCTGGTGGGGTTACTGTTGGTCGCGGCCGCGAGACAAAGGTCAGGCGGCAAAGGCAAAGTCCGGGACGCGAACTAGGCTAATTAGCTACAACAGGCACATACCGGCCGGCCCACTCAAACAGCAGCCGCGAAGCTGAAGCTGAAGGGGAGCTGACGGCAGGGGTATCCTGAGAGCTCGAGCACGTGCACGGACAAAATGTCATGGAATTCGGTGCCTACCACAGTATGAGACGGGAACCGGGATAACCAAGTCCGTCAGCTGGTGGGGTTACGCGAAGCGTCTAGAATTAATAAACCAGCCCACCACAACACGCCCTCAGGCTCCCTCTGTCCAGCCTGGGGCACCCTGGCACTTGTAGTGCCTCCACTCGGATTAGCCCGCGTCTTTTGACGAAACACCGGTCTACCAAATGAGTCAGCGAGCGAAGGAAAACCCACATGCCCGACACTACTTAGTAGTGCCAAGCGGGAACTACTGCCCACTACCCGTAAATTGGAGGTGTTGGCTGTTGCCTACTTTGTCAAAGCAGCAACGCGCGCGCTCACATCCTCTAGTACCGATTGCACAGCTACGAGGTCCATCGCCCTTGCGGGCTTTTTCATTATGGCAGCGCCTTCCACCAACTCCTCTGGTGTGAGATACCCATCACCGTCCTTGTCCAACATGCGAAATACTGTATCGATGTCGGACATGTCTAGACCCATAGCGCTCAACCACTCTTCCACCTTCTTGTTTTCCATCACCTTCATGAGTTCTCTCTGGTCCACCAGTCCACTACCGTCCACGTCTGCCTGCTTGAAGAACTCTGTCAGTTTAGCACTTTCCGCCTTCGCAGCTCTCCTGACCTCGTTCATCATGATACTATCGTCCAGGGCCGCGACTTTGAACGTTTCGTTGAGGAACACGCCCGAAATAACTTCGATCACTGCGAACCCGAAGACCAGCTGATGGCAGATGCCAAAAAGCATGAACAACTCGTTGAAGGGGACGAGAATGCGTGTGATGGTGAACCAGTTGCCCAGCAGCATCTCGATCATTGTCAGCAGCGACTTGGAAAAAGTGCCGAAATCCGCCGGCCCCCTTGTGGGGCTACCAGGCTGTAGGGTGAGGACCTGCTCCCTGCACCAGTTGCAGTTGCAAGTCTCCAATGTGTCAGTCCAGCTTTTTTGCTTCCTACTGCGAAATGTTGAAGTCCACGCGAGGAGGGGGGCCCCAAACCGGGAATGTGCCACGCCCAAATCGCGTTGCCTGCATTCCCCGGGCGTGGGAGGCGCAACAATACATGAGAGTCGCGCCCCCGAAGCCATGACTTAGTAAATTACGCAATGCCTGCGTCCTCGAAACCACAAGCCCTCGTAAATTACATAACGTTTGCGCCCCACGAGGCAACAAACCTTAGTACATCACGCTGTGTTCGCGTCCCCGAAACCATAAACCATTGTAAATTATACAATGTTCGCGTCCCCGAGGCCATAAAAGCTTGCAAATTACACACTTCTTGTGCCCCCAAGACAACAGCAACCCTTGCAAATTACATAATATTCGCGCCCCCGAGACCAGAACTCTGGCAAATTACGGGGCATTCGCATTGCAGAGGCCAAGAGTGCTCTAAGGCGCCCGAAGATGGCTCCAAAACAACCCAAGAGGGCCCCAAGAGGCCTCCAGAGAGCTCCAATACATAGGCTTCTCGAGAGAGCCCCAAGAGGTCATCATGGATGGTTTTACCATGGTGTTGTGGGATGTTGGCCTCCTCGCGTTTTCTTGTTTGTTGACGCTCCAAGACGACTCAAGGAAGTGCCAAGACCGCCCCAAGACAGCCCAAGACGCGTCCAAGAGGGCCTCCAGACGGCCAAAGAGGGCCCCAATATTGCCCAAGAAGCGCCCCGAGAAGCTCCGACAAGCCCCAGGAGGCTCCAGGAGGCCCCTAGAGGCGCCTAAGACGCGCCCACGAGGCCTCTAAGAGGCCCAACAGTTACCCACGAAGCCCCAAGAGGCCCCCAAGAGGCGCCCAAATAGTCTTCCCACAACACCCCAACACATATACAAGAGGCATCGGGTGGGCCGAAAGCCCATCGGAGAACGCCGTCGATCAATATGCACTCATGGATCCTTTCCGCCCACGCATGATGTTCCCAGATGCGCCAAAGCAGAACCGAGACGCACCGACGCGACTCTGATATATACATATATATATATATATATCATTATGATAGAGAGGGGGTCGGCAGAAGGGGGCGAAGCCTTTCTGAATATTCGTAGAGCCTCTCCCTCTCCTGCTGGGTCCACTCATCGCTTTCCCAATAATCACTCAAAAACAAATTGAGCGACAACGCTATCATCATCTCGCCCAACAGCAGCACGACGCTGGACCACCCCAGGGCTGACACACTCCCCTTGATCGACTGCAGCATCAAGTAGAGCGAGGCGAAACCTCTGATCGTCTTCACGACCCTGACAAAGAGACCAAATCAAACATCAACTTTTTCGGAGGCCCGCGCGGATCTCTTGGATCCGAGCTGGGACCTCCCTCTCCCTGACGCGCGAAGCGCGCAACGGGCAGCGCCAGAAACGCCGCCATGGAGGCGCCGACCCAAGCAATCTGAGCGGAGCTCCAAACATTCCCCGAACAGTGCCTGCACCGAGGGGTTCGTGTCCTGCGAAACTCGGCTGGTGAGGCGGTCAGGGTCGCCGCCCGTCGTCTGGGCCGGTGTGGCGGCCTGGCGGCCACGATGTCGCCGTCGCCGAAACGTCGCCGCCTCGTCGCCGCCCGTCGTCTGGGCCGGTGTGGCGGTCTGGCGAGTAGGTTGTCGCCCTCGCCGCCCTGTCGCCGCCTCGTCGCCGCCCACGTAGATAGCACACCTCAAATAATGAGCAACATATATTGCGCACGACATGTATTGCGCACCACAGTGGTTGCACCGAATAGACTGCGCCACATAGACTCCCCTGTCTTCAAGATTGGGACTCACCGACCCTCCCGAGGCGGACTGATCGGGCCCCTCTGGGGATAAGCAATTTACCTATGATTCTGCTCCATCGTCCATCCGAAACATGAATTCTATCATCCCAGCCCAACCAGTATCGACCCACCCCGTCATCCTTTGCAAAAAGTATGCGCGCACATTCGAATATCAAAACAATATGAATTCTCACAGATCCCTTGGAAACATGATCGACCCACGAACCCGGAAAGGAGCCTAGAAATGTAAGGCATGGCAACGCTTCAGAGACACCTGATTGGGCGACGGGCGCATGCAATGCTATATGTATTGATTGTAATGTACCGTGCCGAGGGCAATGCTGTGCTGCGCCGTGCTGAATTTGCGATGTGCCATGCCGCGATTATGATCTACAACATTGTGGATCAAATCCTCCTTTGCATTCGAGTCCGGAGGACCCAAGACCAGAGGACGGTTCGGAAAAACATCATCGCAGGCACATGAGTCAAAAGTTCGTTTCACGAATGTGTGAGCGACTGGTTGCAAGCATGGAAGGGCGAGTGGAACTTGCGATCCACTAAGGCACGGTGTCCAAGAGGCGCCCAAGACTGCCCAAGAGGGCCCAAAGAAAGACGGCCCCAAGATGGGGGCCAAGATGAGGAACCCGAGCGGACATTTCGAGCCTTCGGCCCCGAGTGGCCTTCAAGGGGCCTCAAGAGACCTCCAAGCGGCTCCCAAGAGGCCCCGAGAGTCTCCCAAGTGGCCCCAAGAGACCCCCAAGAGACCCCCAAGAGGCTACCAAGAGGCCCCCAAACTGCTTCCAAGATGCCCCCGGGAGCGACCGAAGCAGCATCCATGATACAAAAATCTGACCCACAACTCAGGTACGGTGGCGGGATGGACCGAAGACCACTAGATCCGCCGCCCCCTGCTTGCAGGGGTGCACGGCGTGCTGGATGATTCAGTTTTGGTTTTGGTTCTTTTTCTAAAAGAACTCCCCAGTGGGCTTCGGCCCGTCCCGCCGGCCACCCGCGCATTTCCCAAAATGCGTCTGTCAATGCCCAAAAACGGCCGTTTCGCTCGGGACATCCTCAAAAAATCACGAAGATGGCCCAAGATGGCCTCCAAGTCCGCCCGAGATGGTCCAAGACGGCCTCCAAAACGGCCCAAGAGAGTCCAAGACGGCCCAAGACGGCCCAAGAGGCCCCCCAGAGGCCTCCCAGACGGCCCAAGAGGCCTCCAAGAGGTCCTCCAGGAGAGTCCGAAGAGGCCAAAATCATTGATTTTCCATTGGTTTTTGAAGGATTTTGGCATTTGCGCCTTTTCGGCTCTCCGACGGCTCAAGACGGCCCAAGAAGCCCCCAAGATCGCCCAAGAGGCCCCCAAGAGAGCCCCATGATGGCCCAAGTGGCCTCCAAGATGGCCCCTAGAGGGCCCCAAGAGGGCCCAAGAGGCCTCCAACACGCCCAAGATGGCCTCCCAGACGCCCAAGATGGCCTCCAAGACGGCCCTGGAGCATTCCAAGCGGGCCCCAAGTCGGCCCATAGAGGCCCCCCAAACGGCTTCCGACGGCTTCAGACGTGCCAGGAACCCACCAAGATGGCCGAAGTTGGCTCGAAGCTGGCCCGAGACGGCCCAAAAAGCCCCAAAGATCGCCCAAAGCTTGCCCAAGAGGCCTCCAAGACGGCCAAGATGACCTTCAAGATGCCCACGTGTTCCCCGAAGGCTTTCCAAACCGATTCGGGGAACACGTGGTCCGATAGCTTGGCAGGTCTGGCCTCAACGTTCGGCCACATAGGCGCTTCCAAAAAGGCAGGGGGCGGCGGTGATTCGCCGTAGGCGTCTTCGATCCGCCGCCCCCTTTTGCTTTAGCAAAAGGGTGCCTGGCGTGCTGAATCCTCTCGGTTTTGGTTTTGGTTCTCTTTCCAAAAGAACTCCCCCGGGGGCTTCGGCCCGTCCCGCCGGCCACCCGGAAGGCGCTCAATTCCCCAATCTCGTCGGCTATGTCGCTCAAGATGGCCGAAGATGGCCTCCAAGATGCCTCCGAGACGGCCAAGATGGCCTCCAAGGCGGCTAAGATGGCCCCAAGATGCCTCCAAGACAGCCCAAGATGCACCCAAGACCGCCTAAGATGGCCTCAAGACAACCCAAAACGGCCCAAGAGGCTCCCAAGAGGCCTCCAAGATGGCCCAAGACACCCCCAAGAGGCCTCCAAGACGGGCCAAAGAGGCCTCCAAGAGGTCCTCCAGGAAGGCGCGAAGAGGCCAAAATCGTAGGTGTTCCTTAGGTTTTTGGAGGATTCTGGCATTTGCGCATTTTCGGCTTTCCGACGGCCCAAGAGGGCCCAAGAGGCCCCAAAAGTCGTCCCAAGATCGCCCAAGAGGCCTCCAAGGTGGCCCCATGACGGCCCAAGAGGTCCCCAAGACGGCCCAAGAGGCCTCGAAGACGCCCAAGATGGCCTCCAAGACGGCCAAGATGGCCCAAGATGGCCTCCAAGATGCCCCCAAGACGGCCAAGATGGCCTCCAAGACGGCTCAGATGGCCCCAAGATGCCTCCAAGACGGCCCAAGATGTACCCAAGACGGCCTAAGATAGCCCGAAGATGGCCCAAGACGGCCCAAGAGGCCCCCAAGAGGCCTCCAAGAGGTCCTCCAGGAAGGCCCAAAGAGGCCCAAATCAGTGATCTTCCTTTGGTTTTTGAAGGCTTTTGGTATGTGCGCCTGGTCGGATTTCCGACAGCCCCAGACGGTCCAAGAGGCCCCGAGGATCGCCCAGGAGGCCTCCAAAATGGCCCCGTGACGGCCCAAGAGGCCTCCAAGATGCCCTCAAGAGGGCCCCAAGACGGCCCAAGAGGCCTCCAGGACGCCCAAGAAGGCCTCTAAGACGGCCGAAGATGGCCTCCAAGATGCCTCCAAGACGGCCAACATGGCCTCCAAGGCGGCTCAGATGGCCCCAAGATGCCTCCAAGACGGCCCAATATGCATCCAAGACGGATTAGATGGGCCCGTAAGGCCCCCAAGAGGGCTCCAAGATGGCCCAAGAGACCTCCAAGAGGTCCTCCAGGAAGGCCCGAAGATGTCCAAATCATTGATTTTCCCAGTGGTTTTGGCATTTGCGCCTATTCGGCTTTCGGACGGCCCAAGACGGCCAAAGAGGCCCCCAAGGTCGCCCGAAGATGGCCCAAGAGGCCTCCAAGATAGTCCCATGACATCCCAAGAGGCCCTCAAGGCGGCCTCAAGAGGGCCCCAAGACGGCCTAAGGGGCCTCCAAGACGCGCTCGATGGCCTCGAAGACGGCCAAGAGGCGCCCAAGACGGCCACACGAGGCCCCCAAGACGGCCCAAGACCCAAGAGGCCTCCAAGACGCTCAAGATGGCCTCCAAGGCGGCCCACGAGCCCTCCAAAACGTCCTCCAAGAAGGCCCGAAAGAGTCAAAATGGCCTCCAGGCGGCCAAGATGACTTTCAAGATGCCCACGTGTTCCCCGAAGGCTTTCCAAATCGATTCGGGGAACACATGGTCCGATAGCTTGGCAGGTCTGTCCTCAACGTTCGGCCACATAGGCGCTTCCACAAAGGCAGGAGGCGGCGGCGATTCGCCGTAGGCGTCTCCGATCCACCGCCCCCTTTTGATTTATCAAAGGGGTGCCTGGCGTGCCGAACTATATGGCTCTTGGTTCTGGTTCTTTTTCCAAAAGAACTCCCCCATGGGGCTTCGGCCCGTCCCGCCGGCCACCCGGAAAGGATCTCAAAACGCATCCGTCGTGCCTCTGTTTCCTCCAGTTGGCCCAAGATGGCGTCCAAGACGGCCAAGATGGCCCAGGATGGTTTCCAAGACGTCTCCAAGACGGCCCAAGATGGCCTCCAAGATGGCTAAGATGGCCCCAAGATGCCTCCAAGACGGCCCAAGATGTACCCAAGACGGCCTCAGATAGCCTCAGGATGGCCTCAACATGGCCCAAGACGGCCCAAGAGGCCTTCAATACGGCCCAAAAGGCCTCCACGAGGTCCTCCAGGAAGGCCCGAAGAGGCCAAAATCATTGATTGTCCCCAGGTTTTTGAAGGATTTTGGGATTTGCTTCTTCTCGGTATTCCGACGGCTCAAGACGGCCCAAGAGGCCCCCAAGATCGCCCCAAGATCGCCCACGAGGTCTCCAAGATGGCCCCATGACGGCCCAAGAGGCCCCCAAGAGGGCCCCAAGAGGCCTCCAAGACGGCCAAGATGGCCTCCAAGACGGCCAAGATGGCCTCCAAGATGGTCCAAGATGGCCTCCAAGTCCGCCTAAGACAGGAGGAGATGCCTCCAAGTCCGCCCAAGACGCCTCGGAGACGGCCCAAGAGGTGCCCAAGAGGCCTCCAAGACGGCCCAGGAGGCCTCCGAGAGGTCCTCCAGGAGGGCCCGACGAGGCCAAAATCATTGAGTTTCCTCAGGTTGTTGAAGGATGTTGGTATTTGCTCCTTTTCGGTTTTCCCACGACCCAAGACGGCCTTAGAGGCCCCCAGGATCGCCCCCACAGCGCCCAAGAGGCGTCCAAGATCGCCTCAGGACTGCCCAAGAGGCCCCCAAGACGGCCCCCAGAGGGCACCAAGACGACCCAAGAGGCTTCCAAGACGCCCAAGATGGCCTCTAAGACGGCCCTGGAGCACCCCAAGAGGGCCCCAAGTCGGCCCAGAGGGGCCACCAAAACGGCTTCCGACGGCGTCGGACGGGCCAGGAGCCCACCAAGATGGCCGAAGTTGGCTCGAAGCTGGCCCAAGACGGCCCAAGAGGCCTCCAAGAGGGCCTCCAGGAAGGTCAACAACACTGTTTGTCCTAGGTGTTTGAAGGTTTTTGGCATTTGATTCTTTTCGGCCAATGCGGCCCAAGAGCCCCCAAAGAGCGCCCAAAGATCGCCCAAGAGGCCTCCAAGACGGCCCCAGAACGGCCCAAGAGGCCCCCAAGACGGCCCAGGAGGCTTTTCAGACGCCCAAGATAGCCTCCAAGACGGCCCTGGAGCATTCCAAGATGACCCCAAGTGGGCCCAGAGGAGCCCCCCAAACGGCTTCCGACGGCGTCGGACAGGCCAGGAGCCCACCAAAACGACCGAAGATGGCCCTAAGATGGCCCAAGACGGCCCAACAGGCGTCCAAGAGGGCCTCCAGGAAGCGCCGAAAATGTCTCAATCATTGATTTCCCATGAGTTTTTGAAGGATTGTGGCATTGGTTTTTCTTCTGCCTTCCGAGGACCCGAGACGACCCAAGTGCACCCAAAGATCGCCCAAGAGGCCCACGACGGCCCCCAGAGGCCCCCAAGACGGCACAAGACCAAGACGCTCAAGATTGCCTCCAAGACGGCCCAAGAGCCCTCCAAGACGTCCTCCAAGAAGGCCCGAAAGTGTCAAAATGGCCTCCAGGCGGCCAAGATGACTTTCAAGATGCCCACGTGTTCCTCGAAGGCTCTCCAAACCGATTCGGGGAACACATGGTCCAATAGCTTGGCAGGTCTGGCCTCAACGTTCGGCCACCTAGGCGCTTCCAAAAAGGCAGGGGGCGGGGGTGATTCGCCGTAGGCGTCTTAGATCCACCGCCCCCTGTCGATTCATCGCAGGGGTGACTGGCGTGCTAGACCCTTTCGGTTTTGGTTCTTTTGCGCGTCCCGCCGGGGTCCCGGAATGATTGCCCAGACCCGGCTCCAAAAGGTTGTTCCTGCTCCAGACGGCTCCAAGACGGCCCAAGATGGCCTCCAAGAAGGCTAAGATGGCCCCAAGATGCCTCCAAGACGGCCCAAGATGCACCCAAGACGGCCTCAGATGGCCTCAGATGGCCCAAGAGGCCTCGAAGACAGCCCAAGAGGCCTCCAAGAGGTCCTCCAGGAGGGCCCGAAGAAGCCAAAATCATTGATTTCCCTAAGGCTTTTTAAAGGATTTTACATTTGCTTCTTTTCGGCCCTCCGACGGCTCAAGATGGCCCAATAGGCCCCAAGACGGCCCCCAGAGGGCCCAAGACGGCCCAAGAGGCCTCCAAGACGCCCAAGATGGCCTCCAAGACGGCTAAGATGGCCCCAAGACGGCGGAGAAAGAGGTGCCCTCCCTAAAATGGCGGCCGGCGCCGCCTCGTTCGGCGGCGGAGATCCGCGATTCTATGCCGCCACGCTGGTTCCGGGCAGGCTGTGCTGCCCGGCGGAAGGGGACGAGGAGGGGAGAAGCAGGCAGACGACGACGAACGCCCAGGCGGGAGGCCAGGGCCGGCGGGGCGGGCGGGCAGGCAGAAGACGGGCCAGGCGGAGACCGGTCTTCCAGGAGGGCACGACGAGGTCAAAGTCATTGAGTTTCATTAGGTTTTTGAAGGATTTTGGCACTTGCTTCTTTTCGGCATTCCGACAGCTCAAGACGGCCCGAGAGGCCCCCAATATCGCCCACGAGGCCTCCAAGATGGCCCCATGACGACCCAGGAGGCCCCCAAGTCGGCCCCAAGAGGGCCCAAGGGGCTTCGACGACGGCCAAAATGGCCTCCCAGACGGCTGTAATGGCCCCAAAATGTCTCCAAGACGGCCCAAGATGCACCCAAGACGGCCTAAGATGGCCTCAAGGTGACCCAAGAGGGCCCAAGAGGCCCCCGAGAGACTTCCAAGATGGCCCAAAAGGCGTCCAAGAGGTCTTCCAGGAGGACACGGCGGGGGCAAAGTCATTGAGTCTCCTTTAGTTTTTGAAATATTTTGGCAGTTGCTTCTGTTCGGCCTCCCGACGGCTCAAGACGGCACAAGAGGCCCCCAAGATCGCCCACGAGGCCTCCAAGATGGCCCCATGACGGCCCAAACAGCTCCCAAGACGGCCCCAAGATGGCCCCACAACGGCCCAAGAGGCCTCCAAGACGCCCAGGATAGCTTCTAAGAACCCCTGATATGCCCCAAGAGGGCCCCAAGACGACTCAGACAGGCCCCCAAGACGGCTTCCGACGGCGTCAGACAAGCCAGGAACACCCTAAGACTGCCAAAGAGCCCCCCCAAAAGCCTCGACGGCCACCAAAAACCCTCCAAGGGGCCCCAGGAAGCCCCCAGGAGGCCCCAGGAGTGCCCCTAAGAGGCGCCCAAGAGGCATCCTCCCCTCCTCCTCCTCCTCCTCCTCCTCCTCATCCTCCTCCTCTTTTTTCCTCATCCTCCCCCTCCTCCTCTTCTTGCTCCCCCATGCGTTCCCAGAAGTCTTTCCAAACCGACTCGGGGAACAACTGGCCCGATAGCTTGGCCAAGCTCTGGCCCAGCTGTCGGCCAGGGAGGCGTTTCCAAAAGGACAGGGGGATGCAGTGATTCGCCGTAGGCGTCTTTGCTATTGCGTCATAGTGCGTCAAAAGGTAAGATTGCAAATATTAGGTTGCACAACGTAGATGGCACAACATACTTTGCACCACACGTATCGTTCCGCATATATAACACCACAAATTTTGCACCACATAGATTGCTCCACATCGATGGCACCAAAGAGTTCATTAGAAACACGCTGATTGGGGTCCACGCTGGCTAACATGTATATCAATGGATTCGCTTCCTCGTCGACCTGAGGAATCGCAGCAGCCGCGCCATCCGTGCCAAGCGGATCAAGGTCGGCGGGAAGGGGAGGTCGCTCGAGAGCGCCTCGATCCAGAAGAAACCGACAACGAGGGCGTCGATCAGGCTCCACGAGTCCTTCAGGGTCTTCCTCGGCACGGCCACTATTTTGAGCAGGAGCTCCGAGGTAAACAATATCCCATAGAACCTTCGAATAGGGCATCGACTACGTCACTGATTTAACCCAGAATTATGTCTTGTCCAATCGAATCCAAACAAATACGTAGAATACTCCTCAGATCGACGGAGCATCCTACTATTCTGTCGTGTATTCGACGGAGAAATAATTTTTGGGGAAACATCACTTCTGAAGTCAATCCCCTACTCGAAACCTTGGCGGCGCGCAGGAGGGGGAATGGCGTGAGGGCGGCGACCTTCGAAGAAGGCAGCGGGTCACTGAGAAGGCATGGTGCTCCCCAAAAGCCCTCCCGGCATCTGAGAAGCCTCCTCAGAAGTCCCCATAAGACGGAGCCAGGACGATGAGAACATCGGGGGAAGATAAATAGAGAATCTCTGAGATCCAGCGGCTCTTGAGGATGTATCAGGTGCCGCGGCCTTCTCAGCGCGTTCCGGAACGCTCTGGAACGGAGTTGTCCCCGTCCTATCTCCGTCCGATTAGAAGCCCTCCCGGTATGTGAGATGCCTCCTCAGAAGCCACGGGACCCTTCCAAGACGGCCCCCAGCATCTGAGAAGCCTCCCTCGCAATCGCCTAAGATCGACTGCACAATAATGCCATACAGGCATCGCGCTGCACTGGATCGCCAGACAATCGGAACCCAACCGCATCGAGCCAACGATAATCGATGTAGAGCTGGACCGGTGGGATCGAAAAGGACTTTGCGGTGAGACGTGGGACTTGAGTTTGGGATACTCGAAATCACCTGACGGGAACTGGCCTGAAATCTGATGCGATCTCCCGCTGCGGACAGACTTAACGCCAGGCAGTCATAACTCACACCGGGACCGGAAACAAATGGGGGCCAGCGCGATTTCCAGCTAGCTCGAGTCTTGCGCTCCCCCGGGCCCAGCACGAGGGTGAGGCGGCCGGTGGCAGGGCGACCAAAAGAAGAAACACGCAAGAGCGCCTGCAAAATAATTCCCCGGGCGTTCCTCTGAGCACTGGCACCTATACACCTAGAGGTTCCCAGATGGGGTCCGAGTAGATGGGGTCAGAAGATCGCGCCGCATCGCCGATGCATCACCGAGACATCGGCAATGCATCGGAGATGTTAGCGATGCATCGGCGCCGTCGGCGTGGAGAAAGTCGGGGTCTAAATCGAGCCGCATCGCGGATGCATCGGCGATGCGGCGCGATCCTCCGACCCCACCTGCTCCGACCCTATCTGGGAGGCCTGGATGGGGGGGAAGAGGCCAAAGAGGAGAGCGCTTGCCATCGCTCGGACGTCCATTCCCCGTGCATGTTTCAGTTTCGTGCGCTCATTTTTCGCAAGATGATCCAGGATGCTCCTCGATGCGCTCCGCCGGGAAAAAATGCACACATCCGAGAGATGGCAAGGAAGGAAGGATGGGGAGTAGGCAGGGAAAGCGAGAAGTGGGGACGGAGGAAACAGCCCGCGGCAATGGCAGCACGCTCGGACCCCATCTGGGAGGCCTGGACTTCACCGTGGGAAGCGGTATCGTTAGCACCGCAAGAAAGTCGGTAATCCACGGGGGCGGAATCGGCGGAGCGGTATCCTTCAGCACCGCAAATCGGAAGTGACGATCCCCCCTCCCCGCGCAGAAATGGGAGCCCTGGCGTGCTCATACTCCCGACGTCGCACGAGGACGTACGAGGACGCACGAGGCTCCACGCCACGGCCGTGCCTGGCCAAGGCCACCCGGGGGCCCGACATGGCGCGGCCTCGGCTGAGACCGCGCGGGTCTGGGCTTAGGTCGGGCATGTCCTCATACAAACGGATTTTGGATGAGAAATACCCACGACCCCGGAAAGGAATGTAGAAATGTAAGGCACGGCAACGCTTCAAAGACACCTGATTGGGCGACGGGCAAATGCAATGCTGAAAGTATCGATCTTGATGTACCGTGCCGAGGGCTGTGCTGTGCTGCACCGTGCTGACTTGCGATGTGCCATGTCGAGATTGTGCTCTATATCGTTGTGGATCGAGTCCTCCTTTGCGTCCGAGTCCTGACCGAACTGATGTAGAACTGAGGCTCGAACTGCCTGAGCACATAATAGCTGCCCCAGAGCTTAATCGACAGGGGGACATGCCAGGAGGACGCGCCGCGGAACGTCCCACAGGACGCGCCAAGCGACGCACCGCGGGACGTGCCAAGGGGAAGCGCTACGGAACGTGCCAATAGACGTGCCGCGGGCCGTGCCAGGGGACTTGCCGCGCGACGTGCCAAGGGGACTCGCCACGGGACTCGCCACGGGACGCGCCAAATTGCAATGCCAAATGTATCGATCTTGATGTACCGTGCCGAGGGATGTGCTGTTGTGCGCCGTGCTGAATTGCGATGTGCCCTTTGCATCCGAGTCCTGACCGAACTGATGTGGATCTGAAGCTCGAGCTGCCTGAGCGCATAGTAACTGCCCCAGAGCTAATCGACAGGGGGACATGCCAGGAGGACGCGCCGCGGGACGTCCCAAGGGACACGCCAGGCGACGTGCCAGGGGACGTGCCATGGGGACGCACTGCGGGACGTGCCAAGGGGACACGCTACGGAACATTAAAACACGAGGTCCTTCCTCGGGACAAACATGTTAGATATCCCCCTGGGTGGTCCGGACACGTAAAAGCACGTGGTTCCAGCTCGGGGCAACCATGTTCGATACACCCCCGAGTAGTCTGCACCCCTGAAAACACGTGGTCCTTGCTCGGGGCGATCATGTTAGATACCCCCTTGGGCGGCCTGGGCACGTAACATGATCGACCCACGAACCTGGAAAGGAATATAGAGATGAAAGGCATGGCAAAGCTTCAAAGACACCTGTTTGGGCGACAAACAAATGCAATGCTGAATGTATCGATCTTGATGTACCGTACCGAGGGCTGTGCTGTGCTGCACCGTGCTGACTTGCGATGTGCCATGTCGAGATTGTGCTCTATATCGTTGTGGATCGAGTCCTCATTTGTATCCGAGTCTTGACCGAACTGACATGGATCTTAAGCTCGAGCTGCAAGGGCACATAGTAGCTGCCGCAGGGCTAATTGGCAGGCGGACATGCCAGGAGGACGCGCCGCGAAACGTCCCAAGGGACGCGCCAAGCGACGTGCCATGGGGACGCTCCGCGGGACATGTCAAGGGGACGCGCTACGGAACGTGCCAATGGGCGTGCCACGGGACGTGCCAGGGGACTTGCCGCGCGACGTGCTAAGGGGACTCGCCACGCAATGCTGAGTGGACCGATCTTGATGTGCAGTGCCGAGGGCTGTGCTGTGCTGCGCCGTGCTGAATTGCGATGTGCCATGCCGCAATTGTGCTCTATATCGTTGTGGATCGAGTCCTCCTTTGCGTCCGAGTCCTGACCGAACTGATGTGGAACTGAGGCTCGAGCTGCCTGAGCACATAATAGCTGCCCCAGAGCTTAATCGACAGGGGGACATGCCAGGAGGACGCGCCGCGGAACGTCCCAAGGGACGCGCCAAACGACGTGCCAAGGAACGTGCCACGGGGACGCACCGTGGGAAATGCCAAAGGGACGCGCTACGGAACGTGCCAATGGACGTGCCACGGGACGTGCCAAGGGACGCGCCGCGCGGCGTGCCAAGGGGACTCGCCACGGGACGCGCCACGGAACGTGCCAAATTGCAATGCTGAATGTATCGATCTTGATGATCCGTGCCGACGGCTGTGCTGCGCTGCCCCGTGCTGAATTGCTGTGCCATGCCGCGACTGTGCTCTATAGCGTTGTGGATCGAGTCCTCCTTTGCATCCGAGTCCTGCCTGAACACATAGTAGCTGCCCCAGAGCTAATTGACAGGGGGCCATGCCAGGAGGACGCGCCGCGAAACGTCCCAAGGGACGCGCCAGGCGACATGCCAAGGGACGTGCCATGGGGACGCACCGCGCAACTTGCAGGGGTGGCGCAACGGAACGTACTGGGGACAAGCATTTCGCTCGAGACATCCTGCCCAAATCCTCATGCTAGACATTCGCCTGGGCGACCTGGACACGTGAAAACAAGCGTTTCGCTCGAGACATCCTCAACAAATCCTCATGCTGGACATCTGCCTGGGCAGCCTGGACGCGTGAAACTAAGCGTCTCGCTCGAGACATCCTCAAGATCCGGGCACGTGAAAACAATCATTTCACCTGAGACATCCTATGATTTCTGGTCCCCAGGAGAGGAACAATATACAACACAAAGCAATCGTTTCGCTCGAGACGTCCTCAAACAAATTCTGAATTACATACACCGCATCCGCGCTCCCAGGGCCACAATCCCTCGTGAATTACGTTGCGCCCGCGCTCCCAGGGCCACGATCCCTCGTAAATTACGTGGCGCCCTCGCTCCCAAGGCCGCAATCCCTGGGAATGTACGCGTGATTTGCGCTCCCAAAGCCGCGATTCCTCATACATTATTTTGGATTTGCGCTCCAAAAGCCGCACCCTCTTGTAAATTACGCAGCCCCCGCACTCCCAAGGCCACGATCCCTGACAAATTACACTGGATCCGCGCTCCCAGGGTCCCGAGCCCTCGTAAAATACGCAGCGTCTGCGCTCCCAAAGCCGCGATCCCTCGTAAGTTACGCTGGGTTTGCGATCCAGGCATCCTGGAGAGCCCAGACCCGTCAAAGTTTGCAAAACGAGCGTTTCGCTCGAGACAACTCCAGAATTTCTGCGCGCAGGACGCGCCATCCTCGAGCGGGCACGCAAGAAGTCAACATTTTCAAATTTTGTTGGGATTCTGCTGAAAATGCCCCGCACATTTTTTTAACAAGGGAACACGGGTGTCTGCAGACCCTATTATTTATCGAGGATGCGAGATGGGGGGGGCTCTTTCCTCGAGCGGGCACGCGCGAAATGCATTTTTTAAGCAGAATTTGACTTCACTTTTGTTTTTACCGAATGGAAGCCCGCCGGCGCCCCCCCCGGTTTTTTGACATACTAAAAAGAACCCTGGGCCGGAGCCCTTTCGGGGAAAAACACGTGGTTCAAGCTCGGGACAACCATCTTCGAAATCCCCCTGGGTGGCCTGGACACGTAAAAACACGTGGTCCCTGCTCGGGACAACCATGTTAGATACCCCCTGGGCGACCCAGACACATGAAAACAAGCGTCTCGCTTGAGATATCCTCAACATGTCCTCATGTTAAGCATCTGCCTGGGCGACCTGAACCCGAGAAAACAAGCGTTTCGCTCGAACCTCCCCAAACTCTGCAAAACGAGCGTTTCACTCGAGCCATCCTCATCAAATTATGTGAAACAGGCGTTTCGCTCGGGACATCCTCAGAAAAAGATCCGCCGGCCCAAATCCACTTCGGGGCCGGGGGGAAACAATATGATCGACCCACGAACCCGGAAAGGAATATAGAAATAAGGCATAGCAACGTTCCAAAGACACCTGATTGGGCGACGGGCAAACGCAATGCTGAGTGTGTGCATCGATCTTGATGTACCGTGCCGAAGGCTGAATGCATCGATCTTGATGTACCGTGCCGAAGGCTGTGCTGTGCTGCGCCGTACTGAATTGCGATGTGCCATGCCGCGATTGTGCTCTATAGCGTTGTGGATCAAAACCTCCTTTGCATCCGAGTCCTGACCGAACTGATCTGGATCTTAAGCTCGAGCTGCCTGAACACATAGTGGCTGCCCGCCGTCCCTGGGGGGCTGCGATCTGCGACACTGTCGCCACTTTCGAGGGCTGCTGGCGGGTCCAGCGGAGTGAGGCAGCGCGGTAACCTGAGCGAGACCTCGCCGTCCCTGTGGGGGGCTGCGTTAGTGACCACTACGACACTTACGTCATTGCCACCGTTGTAGCAATCCTGATGTACTTTTGCCCCGCATTGCGCAAGGGTTGGGTACGTCGCCAGGGTAATTGCTTGTGCGCTTGTGCGAGTTTTCTGGGTGCTCCTCTGGCGCGCTCCATTTCCTCTCTCTTTCTATGTGTATATATATATGTGTATAGATATAGCGCTGAGATTAGCATGTGTGTGTGCTTGTGTTTATTTGTCCCTCCTGATCCATGTGTCCCCTAACCGTGTGCGGACCCCCAGAGGTCGGAACTCCTGCCCTGGGAGCGGCGTCTCATCCTGAACAATGTCTGGCAACTCTGGGGGCCCTGTAACGGACGCGCCCCCCAAAGCTGCAACCTGACAGAAGCCGTCCGTCGTGACTTCCTCACGGGGCGAGGATGCGTGTGAACCCCTATGATTGGCCAGCGGGCACTGCCCTTGTGGGTGCCGGCGAGAACCACTCGATCCCCAGGAAGACGGCGGCGGCCCCAGGCCAGGCCATGTCAGCGGGCTGCGACTCGCGTGGCGCCACTCCTCGGGGAACCAACATGTACCAAAGCCGCTACTCTTAGGTCGGGCCTCCCCCCCTGCAGGGGGATTTTGGACGAAAAATGCAGCAAACTCCAAACAGACTTGAAAGATGCCCAAAAATACTCAACAAAGAGCCCCCAGACTATGTTTTGACCATTTTTGAATACTCCCCCTGTAGAGGGACAGGCCCGACTTAACGCTACTCCACAGGGGCGCCCGACTTCGCGCTTCCCGCTGCGCGACGCGAGCCACTTCGCGCTCCCGCGCCGCCCCACGAGGGGGGAAGAGCAGGACGAGGAGGAGTCGGGGCCGAAGCGCGAAGCGCGAATGACTTCGCCTCTCGAGGGCGCCCTTGACTCCGCGGACCTCTCCTGGGGTGCGTTCTGCCCAAAGCCTCGAGGAGAATCCGACGGTGGCGTGAGGTCGGGCATGTCCCCCTACAGGGTTTTTTGGACGAAAAAACGAAAATACTCCAAACCAATTCAAAAATAGTCACTACAGAAAAGAATCGACAAATCGTCCCCTGCCTAGTTTCTAAACTATTCTTGGATACTCCTCCCGTAGAGGGACACGCCCGACTTGACCGCAGCGACGAGGGATCTCCAGGTCGAGCCGCAGCATCGACAATTACCTTTTCCTCCTCCTGCGCTCCGGCGCGGTAGCCGGAATCCATGCCGTTGTACTGGGCCTCCGCGCAGATGCACAGCGCGTTCGTCAAGATGACGACAGCCATGGTCAGCTCGAACTGTGTGCTCGTGACCTGGTGAGAAATTAAGAAACCCTCCGCCACGCCGAGCCTGAGAGAACTGCGTGTTTTTGAAGCCGGATCCGGCTTGACAAACACGCAGATTAGGTGGATCCGGCTTCAAAAACACACAATTTTCTCGAACCTGGCGATCGTGACCTGACGAGACATGAACCCTCCGCCACACCAGGCTTCCGCAGGCCCATCCAGGGGCCCAGACGTTTCGTTTCTTCTGTGGCGTGCATGGATGGGTGCGGGTATTTGTATAGAGATACACATTGCACGCACGCGTGTATATATATATATATATATGCACATACATATACGTACATACATACATACATACATACATACTTACTTACATACATACATACATGCATGCATGCAGTTATACATACATACAACAGAGCGCGTTTCACGGGCGCGTGCTTTGGGAACATTCGGCGGCGCGTTTCGAGCCGTGGAGTGGGCCCCCCCCCCAACTCTCGGCGCCGTCGATCATAACCAGGGGAACTCCCCTCCCCCCTCCCCCTCCCTCCCGAACCATCCCCCCTTCCCTCTGGGGGGGGGGTCCAAAACCCGCCCCCCCTGGGCGCCGGCGCCGGCGTTGGCGGCCGCCACAGCGCCAACGCAGCGACGATGACCAGAGAGGGCCCAGGGGGGGGTGGGCGGGGGGTGGGAGAGAGGGCCCAGGGGAGGGGTGGTTTCAAACCCAGCGCCGGCGCCGGCGCTGGCGGCGGCCAGCAGCGCCGACGGCGGGGACGCAGCGACGATGACCAGAGAGGGCCCAGAGGCACACACACACAAATCGCCAGATCGAGCCCTCGCATGCTTCTCAGACGCCCCCGAGACCCTTCTGACGAGACCTCTAGAGGGATCCATTAGAACTCTGACCCTTTGCCAGAACACAATGGCGGGAATAGCCGAAAGCCACACCACCACCACCACCGATACAATAGACCACCTTACCGCCACCACCACCACCGCCACCACCACAGCCGCCACCACAATCACCACAACCCAGCATCACCACAACCACTACGGTCGCCAAAAACCATCTCACCGCCACCACCACCAAAAACGTCACCACCACCAAGACCACACAACCCACCACAACCCACCGCAACCACCACCACCACCACCACAAACCACCACGCCATTACAACCACCATCACCACCACCACCACAACCACCAACATCAGCACAACCCACCACCAACACCACCACACCACCCACACAGCCGCCACCACAACCACCACAACCAACACCCACCAAACAACACCCACCACCACCACCAGCACCACTACCAACAGCAGCAGCACCACCACCAACACTACAGCCCACCACCACCACCACCGCCACCACAAACTACCTCGCCACCACCACCACCGCCACCACCACGACCACCATCATCACCACCTCAACCCACCACCACCACCACCACCAAACCACCGCACAACCACAACAACCACAGCCACCACCACCACCATCACAACAGCTCACCACCACCACCAATACAACAACCCACCACCAGTAGCACCACCATCACCAGAGTCTACCACACCACCACCACCACCACCACCACCGCCACAACCACCACCACTACTACCAGCATCGCAACCCACAACCACCACCACCACAATCACCGCAAACCACTTCACCACCACCACCACCACCACCACCACTACCACCGCCACCAGCACCCCCGCCGCCGCCAGCCGCCGCCGCCGCCGGCGCCGGCCCGAGGAGAGGGAGAGAGGAAAAGCAGGGTTGGGGGGGGGGGGTCGGGTTCCCCCCCCCCTTCAAGCGACCACAGAGGCCGCTCTTTCGGATATACATTTATTTGTGTATATATATACATAGATATACTAGAACCATCGCGCGCGCTTCGCGCGTGCGCGCTCAAGTTCTAGCTAGGCTTGATGGGCGAATGCATGGAATGTCATCATTGTCGTTTCTTGAATCCAAGGACTCTCTTGGAGGCCCTGCGCAAGCCTCGGAATTTCATAGAAGGGGAATTGCGGAAACGCAACAATCATTAATGGCCGCTAGGTGTTCAACGATTTGGGGCCCTCGAAAGATTCCTGGGTTCTTTTCTGGGGCCTTGATTGTGGTCTGTTGTGCAAGAATAGACAAAAAGGCGAACTTGAAAGAAACGGAATTGTTGGATTTCTGCTTTCCAAATTGTAATGCCTGGGCTGTGGGCTAGACGCTTTCTGGATGCAGGCCACGGTCTGTTGGAATGCCTCTCGGGGTCTTCGTGCAAACATAAGCATAGGGTGAATTCAAAAAAAGGAATTCTACACTTCCATTGCTTCAACTCATGAGACCATGGGATCACGATGTCTACGGTTGTTCCAGGGGCAGCCAAAAGGACGCGAAAACGATCCATGACAGTGCCAAGACAGCGTCAGAGAGTTCAGCAGGATTCCCGAAACATCTTTGCATGTGACTCCGACGTCTTGATGAGGCTCGAGGAAGAGGACACGGATGAGGAGTCCCAACTTGACAATACCAAATATATCTAGAATTCCCTGTTTTTCGAATTCCTTGGTTTTGAGCGTTGGAAGCGGGACAGCGTGAGAAGGCGAAACACATCGACAACCACCATTGTAAATCGACGATGTTACCCTGTTCGGGCTCTCTCGGGACGGCTCTCGAAGCTCTCTTGAGCTGTTTAGGGGGGGCTCGTCTGTTTTTTTTTGGGGGGGCCTCTCATACCTCTGGGGCGCGTTGGAAGCCTCTGGGGTCTTGGAGTCCTCTCGGAGGTCCTGCTCCCGCTCTTGGGGTCATCTTGGGCCTGTTCTGGGGTGGTCTGGAACTGCCCTGGGCGCCTCTTCGGCAGTCTTCGTGCCGTCCTGGCCCGTCTTGGAGCCGTTTTGGCAGCCTCTTGGGCGATCTTGGGAGCATCTTCGGCCGCGTGGGAGCGCTGGAAGCATGAAATGGTGAGAAGGCCAAACACCATGCAAACATCAACGAACCATGCAAGGCCATGCAAACATCCATGAAAACCTGGCTCGAGCCTCCAGAGCTAGGTCGGGCATGTCCGCCTCCAGGCGGATTTTGGGAAGGAAAACAAAACATAGTCAACAAGATTCAAGAGTTGTCCGACATACAACAGAGTCGTCACCGTATCATTATTATGTGACGACTTTTGAATATCCCTCCTGTAGAGGGACATGCCGGACTTAACTCCAGAGGCGCGGGCCGGGGGCAGAGCTTCGCCCCTCCCCGGGGGCCATGGTCGCGAGGCCGCTGCTCTGCTCCCCGCCGCCGTTCCTGCTGACCCTGCCCCACAGCGTGTGGCGCGCCGTCTGGGTCGGCCCGCTCTTCAGCGACTTCCAGAGCCATGTGCCGAGCTTGGACATCCGAGATGCCGTGGTGTCCTTCGGGCATGCACGAAGCGGGCTGAACACAAGCCTGGCTCGGCCAGCTCAGAAACCAGGTGCGCTGGGCCTTCCAGGGGGGCTCCCCCGACCCTGGCTCGGTCAATCTGCACGGCCACCTCCAGAGCTGCGAGCCGCTCCCCGAACTCAGCTCAGCCCCAGTCCGGCTCTGCAGAATTGCCCGTCGGCTGAGTCCCTCTCTGCTCTTCCCCTCCAGGAGGAGGAGGAGGAGGAGGAGGAGGAGGAGGAGGAGGAGGAGGAGGAGGAGCTGAGAAGCCCCGCCGCCTGCCGAGAAGGCCCGCCCCTCTCAGACGTGTGGCGTTTGGGTCACAGCTCGGCTCTCCGGCGACCGTTCGGTACGATTCGGGCACCCTGGGCGAGGCGCAACCGCTGGAACGCATCCCAAGGCCGAAAATCCGCCGAGAAGCGACGAGGACGCCCGAAAATGTCGAACCCCGAGCCCCGAGCTCTCGAGCTCCCAAACGTCTCCCCCCCAGACGGATGGGAGGCCCTCGGGCGTCGATGCCGCGGCAGCTGCAGCGACGGCGGATCCGAGAGCGGCGCTGGGCAGGCGAGGACGCAGAGGGCCCTCTTTTCGGCGGCGGGCAAAGGGGGGGAAGTGGGAAGGGGCGGGCTTTCTCAGAAGTTTCGGAAGCCCCGTGGCCTCCTGACAAGGCGCGAGGGCTTCCGAGAAGTCCCGCCGCCTTCTGAGAAGGCCTTCTGTTCCGCCGCAGTTTTCTATCTATGGCGCCGCTCGTCGCTCGCCGCCTATCTTTGGCGCCACCTATATTTGGCTCCGTGGGGCCCTCCTTGGCTCGTCTTGGAGCTCTCCTGGGCCGTCTTGAGGCGCTCGTGGACCGTTTGGGAGCCTCTGGGGACGTTCTGGGGCGACCTCGGAACCCCCCAGGCGTGGGTTCTAATCCATGGAGGGTGGTGCGAGGGCCCGCGCCTATCGACAAAATCAATAAAAAGAAAACCATCACTTCTCGTTCTAGTTTCTGTCTTTGGCGCCCACAGGGTTTTAATTGGGTGTGGTGTGGGCACTATATCCCAAATGCTAGGGAAGCTTGTGATACGTGTGTCTTCCGGAGACAGGTCTTGCGTGTGAACAGCTATGTGATGCTAGGGAAGCTTGCGTGTGAACAGCTCAAGTCGTTTGGGTCATAAAAACCGAGTTTCACGACGCTGTGTGTGCTTCAAAAATAAAAACGGAGGGCAGTGATGTTCGCACTTCGCCTTCCCAAGAACCCTATCCGCGCCTACGGCTTCGCGGGACCTCAATGAGGCCTAAGGCACGTGTTTCTAAGAAGGCCCTGCAATCGAAGGTATGAGTACCACGTGTGTTCGGAATGCTGTCTGGCTTCAAGACGACTTCAAGTAACCTGAGCTATGTCCTGAGTTATTTGAGGTCATAAGCCATATGCACCGTATGAGCAGTATAAGCTCGATAAGCGTTATCAACATCATGATGAGCCCTCCTGTGAGCCCTATAAGACCAGTGAGCCCAACGATCCCTATTAGCCATATGACCCGTATCATCCATTTGAGCCTGATGAGCCCCTATGAGCCCGTATGAGCCCCATGAGCCCTATGAGCCTAACGAGCCTATGAGCCCTACGAGCCCGATGAGCCCAAAGATCTACGACGCCTCGCAAATGAGGTCCAATTAGTTTGGGTCAGAAGATCCCCCAGCATCGACGATGCATCGGCAACGTCGGCGATGCATCGGCGACGTCGGCGGGCAGGACATCGCGTTAAACACCGCGCCGTATCACCGATGCATCGGCGACAGGGCGGAATCCTCCGACCCCATCTACAGGCGGCGCGCCTGGGGGGGAAGTCAGGGGGCGGGCCTTCTCAGAAGGCTCAGAAGGCTCCCTTCCCCGAAGACACAGGATCCTTCTCACCTCGAGGACGGGAATGATGTCATGATAGTATTGGCTCAGGATGGGTTTCAGGATTTCGAGAAGATGTAGCGGCCCTCGTCTCTGCAGCCCGTGTGGAACATCAAGGAATCTTGTAGTCCTGGAAGTCTTGGAACGTCTTATTCTTATGACCGCTTGTTCCTCCGAGCTACCCCCCCTGCGTGCCGCCGAGAAAGGGCGAGATCATCTGGCCCCACCTGCAGTCGGACCTAGGCCATCAGAATACCCCTCACGAACATGAGACCCTCCGTCGGCCCAAACGAACAGAAGAGCCAAGGGTAACTACCCTCCTCAGGGTGCACAAGAGCATCCAACAGACACGAATAACATGTGCCCCGAACCAACCTCGATGTTATACCTCGGCCCGACTGTACTCGGACCCCACTTCGAAGGCTGAGGCCATCCCGGCCCGTCTTCCGAACCGCGCCCCGCCGCGAAGGCGCCAGGGCCCCCCCGAGGACCGAGCGGGGGCAGGGCGTGCCCTGGGCGGCCAGACGACACCTCGGGCCACCCGGCTTCGCGCACCTCGTCCCCGCGATGCGCGGCGCGCGTCATGCTACTCCCATCGTGCTCAAGGACCACATCACAGGACAAATCTCCAGCACCCCGAGAAGTGTTGAGACAGTGTCTGCCCGACGCGCCGGCGAAGTGCCGGGCGGAGATCGCCTCCCGGGGCCCGACAGGTGAAAACCGCCCAGTTCCGATTCTTTCTTGGTGCTCGGAACTCTTTCTGGCGAGCAAGGCTCAAGTATGTTGGAGTATCACAAGGCGCGCGGCCGCCTTCGCTTTCCTACTGTTGGGGCCAAGCCGATGGGTGACAGGCCATCACAGGCCTGCTCATGAGGAGGCCGCTGCAGCCTTTGCTCCCGCCTCCCGAGCCTGCCCCCTGTGCAGCATGGCAGGGTCCTGCTCCCCTGGGGGAAAGAACGGTGCAATTTGTCGGGTCCCAAGAAGTGTCCAGAAGGTGCCCTTAAAGCGCTCCCTCTGGGCCCTAACGAGGTGCCCTCCAGGGGCCCGAGGGGCCCCTTTCTATCACCCTTTACTGCCCATCTATCGCCGTCTATCGCAGCCCCCGCTGTCCCCCATGTATCGCCCCCCCATTACGCGCCCCCTGTGGAAGCTCGAGCCTCCGGGGCCTGCGGCCTCGAGCTTCGGGCTGGACCACTTGCCCGAAGCTCGCGAAAGCTCTGTTCTGGGGGAGCAGCCCGAGCGCCGATGAGCCTCCTTCAGCCCGGGGAGGGGGCTAGGGGGACGAACAATGACACAGACATACAAAAACTCGGAGGTTCGCGCAGATTTCTTGGATGCGCGCTGGACCCCCCTACATGGCGCGCGGAGCGCCCCAGGGGCGGAGCTGGAGGCGCCACCCTGCAGGGGGCCCCAGCGCCGATCCAGGAAATCCGCGCGGACCTCAGAGTTTTTATGTTTATCTCATTGTTCGTTCCCCTAGAGTTAGGTCGGGCGTGTCCCCGTACAGGCGGATTTTGCATGAAGAATGAAAGATACTCTAAACATACTCCCACATGGTCAAAAATAGTCAAAACATCGTCCCCATACGATTGTTTCCTACCTAGGCTCTGCCTACAAGGGTTCTTACTCGGTTAGCTTAAGGGGCCGGGCAGTGTAACCCGCCCCGGGCGGTTCCCCCGGTCCCCTGGGAGCGGTTCCCCCAGCTGCGCCCCCTAGCTTTAGCTTTAGCTTTAGCCTGAGCTTTAGCTTAGCATTATCTTAGTTGTAGCTTAGTTGTAGCTTAGCTTTAGCTTAGCTTTAGCTTAGAGTTAGCTTAGATTTAGCTTAGCTTTAGCTTAGCTTTAGCTTAGCGTCAACTTAGCTTTAGCTTAGCTTTAGCTTAGCTTTAGCTTAGCTTTAGCTTAGCTTTAGCTTAGCTTTAGCTTAGCTTTAGCTTGGCTTTAGCTTAGCTTTACCTTAGATTTAGCTTAGCTTCAGCTTAGCTTCAACTTAGCTTTAGCTTAGCTTTAGCTTAGCTTTAGCTTATCTTTAGCTTAGATTTAGCTTAGCGTTAGCTTAGTTTTAGCATAGCTTTACCGTTACTACTAATGCTGCTTTCCTAGGGGCTCCAACTCCTAGGTAGGGCCGCACTGGGATAATTTCCAATTTCTGAATATTCCTCCTGCAGAGGGACAGGCCCAACTTAATCCTGGAGGATGCGGCAGAGTGGCAGCATAAAACGAGGCCACCTCGGAGAAGGGCAGCCCTGTCCTGCCAGGGCCGCGGCGCGCGAAGCGCGACCATCTTCGTGCCTCGCGCACCACGTGGGTGACCCACGGATCGGGGACGCGACGCGTGACTGAGCAGCATCACGACGCCAGAGGTCTGCGACACTGCCCCTGCAAACCCCCCTGGTCGGGACAGCGCGGGCCGTAGTCGTTTTGCCATCGTCGTCGCCGTCGTCCTCGGGCGTTGTCGTCGTCGTCGTCGGCCGTCGTCGGCGTCGGCGTTGTCGTCGTCGTCGCCGTCGACATCGGCGTCACCGTCGGTCATCGCCGTCGTCGGTCGTCGTGTCAAGTCGTCGTCGCCAGTCGTCGTCAAGATCGTCGTCGCCATCGTCGTCGGCGATGGTCGTCGTTGCTCCACGCCGTTGTTGTCGCCGGTCGTCGTCCCTCCAGGTCGGTGCACGTCGACGTCGTCGTCCTCGTTGGTCGTCGTCGTCGTCGTCGTCGTCGTCGTCGTCGTCGTCATTGGCCGTCGCTGGCCGTGCCGGCCCTGCCAACCCCCCTGCTCCTGGGTGGCGGGGTCGAGCTCGGACGGACCGGACGGCCTGCTCTTGTTCCCGGTGGAGCTGTTGCGGTCGGTGCCTCGCCCCCCCCCCCCCCCCGCGAGCAGGCGACGGACGACAAGTGGGGCCCACAGGAAGAGGAGGAGGAGGAGGAGGAGAAGGATGAGGAAGAGGCCGCTGTGGCAGCATCCGTGGAGGATGCTCATGTCGCGGCGCGCAGGCCGCGCGCGCGCGACGCGGCCACGAACGGACGGTCGACGTTCTGCTGGTGCCCACGATGCTACCGGGGAGCCACCGTGGGCGACGAGGTGAGCTGAGGGGAGCAGCAGGCAGCAGCAGCAGCAGCAGCAGGACAAGGGTGGGAGGAGGAGGGGTGGAGGAGGAGGAGGAGGAGGAGGAGGAGGAGGAGGAGGAGGAGGTAAGATAAGATAAGACCGATCGCGAAGCGAGTTCAATAAATTAGGAGGATCTGGCCGCCTTCTCAGCTCTGCTGAGAACTTTGGGCATGAGACCTCTTGAAAGACGGTCGAGATATTCTCGCCGTGCTTTGGTAAGTGGGGCTCTTGGGGGGGCCTTACACTCATCAGCGAAACCTCGGAGCTGCTGCTGATGGTAGCTCCCACAAGCCGCACAATACCATATGGACAGGGGTTCATGATAAAGAATTTGGTGAGAGCTCTGGACCCACCCCCCAGCGAGATGCAGACGCTGCCCCCGAGGAACCCTCATAGTCCCCGTTGGCTGAAGCTCAGGTTGGAAACATGCTGACTCAAGAAACTCCTTCTTCCCAGCCACAGTCGTGGATCCCCTATAGACAAGACACCTTTTTCCACACTCCGAGATCCTGTGTGCCGTGCAAAAAAAGGGCCACCGTGGCTGGGGCAGGAGGTGAGACCCTGGGGGGCTTGCGGGGCCGTCGGGGAGCCTTCTTTTCCTTTTCAAGGGCGGTGGTTCCGAGCGAAGCTCTGAGCAACCGCTGGCGAACGAGGGCAACTTCATTCCCTGTCTGCAACACTCGAGCACGCTGATCCTGCGGGACCCTCGCACGCAGTGCCGCCTCTCCTCCCAGGTGGTCGACGGAGACGTTGCCAGCGATGAGAGGCCCCGACAGCTGCCGAGAAATTACCTCCCCACCTGAAGCATGATACGGGACTTTGATGACAGCGATGTGATACGGCTCCCGTCTTTGCTGTTCGAGGTTCTGCCCAACTTCACGCCGCAGATCTGAGTTCGCGCCTTGTGGTGAGACGTACAGTCGCTCCCACCATCCTCGGCGCACCTCTTCGTTGTCCGTGGCAAATGTCATGATATCCTGCCGACCACCGAACTCCCAGGAGGAATGCCAGCAGTTCGCCCCGAGGGACGGTTTGCCTCACTCCTGGCAGTGGTCCAAAAACGAAGCGAGAATCTGGTCCAGGGAGCTCGCCGACTGCCGATACTGCTAACCCTACCCGACGAAGTCGAGGATCATGTGTGACGCTGCCGCCCGAAGCGTCACCGTGGATCACACTGGGTGTGGACTCGTCGCCCTCGCCGGAAAGCTCTAATCCAAATCGTCGTTGTGACTGACTGTCCAGATCTCCTCTTGCGTGGGCGGGTCCACCGCCGTGAGATGAGAGGGTATGAGCCCTAGATGCCAATAACATTCCATACTGTCACCTTGGGTCAGCGCTTTGTGGCATAACTCCTGGGACAGGTCAAAGGCTGCCGACCCTTGGTTGCATCGGCAAGCCCAGAAACGATGCTTGGGTGTCTCTGGGCCCTCCTCGCAGCGTGCACACTGCGACGGAATAGCATACCATGCATCGGCCTTGCGAGGCGCCGTCCATGCCCCGCCGGCCGTGATCGTAAGTAACAGATGTGCCAACCTGCGCCCGATCTTGGGGATCTGCTCAAGCTGGAACAACTGCTTCCTGAGGCTGAAGTTGTCGACTCCTGCCTCCATGCCGCCTCCGCAGAATGTTGAAACTGCCGCCTGTTGCCGCTGCTTCTGTTGAATAGACCTGGTGAATGCATCAAAGAGTTCGACGGCCTGATCCTGAGCTTGGAAATCGGAGCCTGCGAAGTTCCACCCGTCCTGGTGGCCCTCTGCATCAGCGGCCCGGCACCGCAGCGACGGCTCAGGGATGTCCCAGCCTGCGTCGAGGAGGTAGTGAATCACCGCCGTGAGCGGATCACGAATATGCCTCGCACGATGGCGAGGTTCACACTGCTGGAAGAAAGAGACTGTGGCACCCAGACCTTCGAGGTCGGAGACCGAACCCGCGGAACTTCCAACCAAATTCGCAGCCATTCGGCTCAGCATTGGCGGGGCAAAGCATACCCAGGATCGGCTCCTGGGGCTCGACTGTCTAGCAAGGTGGTAAGGCACCGACCTCGCCTATGCCCTCCTGTGACGGCGCCTGGCCGCCGACGCAGGTGGGTCAGTGACGTCGCAGGGAGTCCATGTACTTGATGTCCGTTGCGTGCTCCCGCCTGAGGTCCAGCAAGTTCCACCTCCTGCAGAACTCTGATCCTCTTGGAGGCAAAAGCATACCCACAAACTTTGTTGTGCTGCTTGAGAGTCGTGACAAACCTTCTCTGACGTGTAGCTCTCCCACGTCTCTTCCCACTGGCTAAATGTACCGCACGGTAGGAGACCTGAGGAGCCGCGATGATTGATCTGCCACGAGCTTTCAACCTTCTCTTGATACCACGAGCGCCCCTCATGTCTGAACAAGTGATGGTGCTTTTTCGTCGCAAGCCTGAGAGAGTGCAGATCCTCGTGCAAGTAATACTTTCCACTAAATCGTTGCAGGCCGAAAACCTGGACCCCACGGCTCTCTGTGAAAGGTCGTCAATCCAGAGTCGCTCCGACAGCCGTGGGTGGCACGCTGTGAGGCATGCCATCACCATGTTGGCGGCCACTTTGGCGAACCTCGTACCGCTCCTGAGTCCTTGGATAATACTTCTCGCGCTATGAAACGGACAAGATACTGCGTCGCTTTGGTCCAAAAGACGAGGTCCTGTACAAGTTTTGGGGCCCGATGCCTAGCACAGCAGGAGGATAACTGTTTCTGAGGGCTCCGTCCACAAGCTCCGACCACTTCATTTCATCGTAAGCAGATCGTATGTCTACTAACGCGTGTCCGTGAGAAGCCCTCATCTTGGCGAAAAGCTCCTCGTCGATCGAGCGCCCGAAGGTAGGCCTCGCGCAAGGCAGAATTGACTGCGGTGGCGGCCCCCCAGTCGGGCTGCCCAGCACTGGCCCATTCGCGAATGAGGGGTTCCCGTGATAGGGGCCAGATCCTGCATGTCATGCATATGAGTCCGATCGCGCGATTGCCAGAGCTTTTCTTGGGTAAAAGACGCCCTAGCACTGGCAAGAGTTGCCAGGGCCATGCCTGGCATTGTTCACACATGATATAGATGACTGCCAATTCGTCAAGCGCCTGCCGAGGTAACCTTTAGAGGTCGATCGGTGAGAGCCGATCGACCCCTTAACCAGCCCGAAGTCGCATCCGTCGGACTGCTGCACGAATATCATCTGCTGTGAGGGGTGTCAAGGGCTCTGATGCTGCATGCCATCGAATACGTTCAAAGAGCTCTCGGACCTCAGGCACTGTCTGCTTGACGCGGGACGTCCACAGGGTATGCCAATGAACTGCTTTGTGGTCGACCACGTCCTTGGGATGGAAGATTGCGTCCTGGTCCGAGCTGGCCGACGCTGGGAACTCAACATCGGCGAGAGGAGACTCTTTAGTAGCTCGGAAGATGGCGCCAGTGTGCTCCTGTTTCCCAATCCATTCCTTGAATTCGGCCAAAGAGGCCGACACTGCATGACTACGAGCCCGTTGGGCAACTCGTTTAGCTCCAGCTGCGTAGATGTCCAGCTGCTGGTAAGTGATGTCCCTGAGCTCGAGCAAAACTGTGAGCCATGAGGCCCATGTGGTGGCATCTTGTGATCTGCCCACGGAGTTGCACGCGCAACCTGGCGGCTGCCCTGCCAACTTGGCACCTGCCACGACGAGAGCTTCGGACTGACTGCGCCCGTTCGCCCGCCGCTTGTGCTGAGCCAGCTTGTGCAGCACCACCTGTACTCGTCCCCACCAATTGGCCGCAACGCCCTGCAGCGCCATATCTCGATAGTGCTCACTCTGACGTACCCGATGAGTGACGAACCTGGGACCCTGAACTCGAGTCGGCTTGTCCGACGGCCCGAGGTCATGGTGGGCACGGTACGCGTGCTCCACGCTGCTGATCCATGCCGCGTATGCACTGCTGACGTGGAGGATGTGAGAGCCTCCAACTTTGAATGCGAGGGATGCCCTCACAGGCTCCCAGACCTGAGATAGAACTTGTGCCTGAAACCCTGCCTGAGCTCGAGCCAAGTTCCACAGATCGGAGGGGAGAGCGAAAGCAGGAGCACCCGCAGGAGCGGTGGAGTTGGATGGGGGAGGGACCTCGTTAAACTGGGGGGCTCTCTCGCTGGGGGGGTCCTTGGGGAAGAGGAGGAGGGGGAGGAGGGGGAAGAGGGGGAGGAGGGGAAGGAGGAGGAGGAGGAGGAGGAGGAAGAGGAGGAGGAGGAGGAGGAGGAGCCATGTCGGCTCACGTCATTCGATGCGAAGACAGCCCACAAGCCTCGATCCTCCTCTGGAGCCTCAGGCCCTGAGCTCATTTTTTTCGGCGGCACAGAATGAAGCAGCGTGATGGGCGCCTGAGATAGGGCTCGAAATTCGTGGAACACGCGGCGAAACCCGAAGCCCTCCCCTGCCTCCAATCGATTCCGGAGAATCGATGGTCGGTGGGGGCACGGCTCGGATGTGGCCATCTATGTTTTCATTCTGGGCGCTTTTCTGGCCCCTGGGGCCCATCACCGGGGCCGGGGACCATCAGAAATGCACCTAGGACGAGAGATCACTCCCAGAGAAGAGGCCGTGACCCCGGGCGGCCGCGCATTGGGAACATCGTATCCTCGGATGTCTGGGTTCTGCAAGGGCAGGGGGGGCTTCATCGCGAGGGCGGCACGTGGACCCTCTCTGGAGGGCCTGGGTTTTTAGAAGGAGGCTTCCTACAGTCAACCAGTATAGTAAGGATGCGCGATAAGGATGCACGGGCCTTGGAAGGCCACGTCGAAGCTTTTCGAGCGGGGCGTGGCCAACGAAAGTGGCCAAGGATGGGCCGAGGAGGCAAGGATGCAAGGGTACCCTTGGGACGGTGGCCCATCCTTACGATTCGGCTTGACGGTAGAAGCTGGGAGGGCTTCCACGAATGTCTTTCAGAACCCCCGGCACCTCAGAATGCCGTCCCCCTTTGCGGCCCCCGAATCGTGCGCGCCGCCAACCTTGAACCACCAAGACATCCAGGGAGGAGAGGTGAGAGGATTCGGGCGGCGAGAAAAGTACAGTACAGAAGCCACACGCCAGTCTTTGGCGCGGGCTTTGGCGAGCCCTCGAGGTCTGCGAAGATGAAAACGGCGACGCATCACGACTGTGACGCAGAGCAACGGAGCGCAGCACGACTGTAATGCACAATAACGAAGCATGCAGCTATATTTAGGTCGGGCATGTCCTCCTAAAGGCGGGCTTTTGAAGAGACATAACACACAATCAAAGCACAACAAATGGCCAGAAGAGCTCGACAAATGGTCCTCATAATATTTTGTCTTAAACATTCCCCCTCTAGAGGGACATGCCCGACTTCAAGATATGCTCACCGATCTTGGCCAGGCGCACCCCGGCCCCACGAGCGGTGCCTTCGCTTCCCTGGCCAGGTCACGAGGGGCGTGTGCACCCCATCCCAGGCCTGTGATGCGCCTTTCCAGGCTCGATGCGTGTGGACAGAGGGCCCCTCTCCATCAGCAGAACACTCTGTCGGAGAGCTTACAAGGCCGCACCCCCTCCCCTCCCTCGGGGACGTGCAAGAGGGGAGGGGCGCCCGAGAGGCCCGGCTGGAAGGCCGCCAAAAGGCCCGAGCGCACCGAGTCGCTGCTACCGCTTCGCTTTCGGCCATCTGGGAGGTCCCCCTGGACCCTTAGACGTAAGTCGGGCGTGTCCCCCTACAGGGGGAGTTTTGGGCGAAAAGAAAAAACACTAAAAAACTGCACCACAAATACTCAAACATAGGACAAAAAAAAAGTCGTCCCCAGACTATTTCTTTACTGTTCTTGAATTTCCCCCCTGTAGAGGGACACGCCCGACTGAACCTCAGGCAAGGCCGCCCACCCCGGCCTGCGGCAGCCGCGGCCCAAGAACAGCCCACGCCCTCGAACAAACAAAACAAACAAAACGAAGCCACGACCCGGCGGCGAGCCCACAGCGGGGGGCGGCGGCGGCGCCTCTCAGGGAGCGGCGGGGCCTCCCAGGAGCCCTCTGGCCTTCCGAGAAGCCGCCCGCGGCTTCGGAGAGGGCCTGCAGAGCTTCTCAGAAGGCGCGAGGCCTTCCGGGGCGAGTTTTTTTCTGAGCCCCCTGAGGAGGCCCGCCCCCGCTCACTGCCCCCCAGGCGCGAGGCCCTCCGAGCTCCTGGGGCGCCCCGCCGCCTTCTGAGAGGGCGCATCCCCTCCCACTGTCCTCCCTGGGCTCGCCGCCGAAAGACAGCGGCGCTTCACCATGTTCGGCCTCCGGGGGCCGTTCTCGGGCTCCGAGAGCCGCCATGCAAGAGCAATGCAGGACGAGCAACTGAACTCCAGGGTAGGGGTCGATCGTTCCAGGGACCACAGTCTGGCGGAGGGGCAACGCCGGAGGTCTATGAGGACCCCGTGAACCCGGACACGCTCGACCCAGACACCCAACATCCCTCGCATCATTTGTTTCCAGACGCTGGCAAGAACAAACTACTACACTGCAACATTTCCAGAATAAACCCAGACACAGGCCCTAGAAGCCTACAATACCCCCCCACATCCGGAAACAAACCCGAATCCTGCAGTGTAGCAAGGGTGTCGTTTCCTTGGTTGTCCGTGTCCTGGTTTATCTGTGTCCTGTGTCCTGGTCTCCGGGGGCTTGAGTCTGGGCATCGGAACCCACACTGGTCCAACCGCTCGAACCTCTCCGAGAAGATTGGTCCTTCCAAACCCCGTGTGTTCCTAGTTTCGGTCTTCAGATGCCATGAGAAAACGACCCAATATTAAACAACTTGCCTCGGGGAAGCGGTCGAGAGTTCATGGGACCGCGGATGGGACGAATCACAGCGTCAGAGGTCTGCGCATCAGACCATGAACCGATCCCATCGTCCACCCTTTCCCTACAATCAAAGTTTTGCCTTAAGAGACCTCGGGATGGGAACCGCCGACGTCGTTGAAACCGACGACAACGATGTCCACCAACGCCGACGAAATGAAGCCGGGCAAGGGCTGCTAAATCCGTGGCTGCTAAAATCGACCTCCAGGAAATCGTCTTCGTCCTTCCGGAACGAAGCCCGTTGACTATTCCGCGTGCCGCGCCTCATTCTGGGGAATTGTTTTTTCCTTCCGGGAGGGCCGTTTTAGCAGCCACGGTTTTTTAGCAGCCCTCGCCCAGCTTTCGAGACGAGGACGACGACGTCGTCGTGGCCGTCGATGTGGACGACCTCGGCGGAGATGTCTGCGGCGTGCGCAAAAGGTGTGGTGCGTTCCTCGACGTCCAGCGCTCGGATTGTTGTCGATGCCTGGACCCGTGGAGGTCTGGGCAGCTTCCCTTAGGAGTAGAGGGCACACACCATCCCCACAGTAAGCACCCCGACAAGCGACGCCGCTTAGGAAACGCACCCAAGGCAGGAATCGAACGGGGCAGGGCTGTCCAGTCAAGACCAGGGCTGTTTCGTAAACGCCACTTGAGCGACGATCAAAACCAGGTCTTATGCGCTATGACACGGCGACCTGGGCCCGCCGAGGGCCCCCGAAGACCGAACGTGGCCCAAAATCGGTGGATTAGATTTTTGTTGGAGCCTCGGATCTCTGGGTTCGGCGCGGCAGCGGTCACCTCGGGGGCGTCCCAGAGGGGGGCGGTCTCGAGGAAGGGGCGCAAATCATGGCCGGCGGCATGTGCGCGGCCCAGGGGCGGGCCAGGAGCGCATTGAAATAGGACGAGGCGCCATGGAATCTGGGGAGATCTCATGGTCCCCGCCATGATCTCCAACCCCCCCTGGTCATCACTTCCCCCCTTGTTGAGCAGGGACCGGCCGTCCCGGGAATCTTATAGGCCTACGACGACATGCTTCTAGAACCCCAGAAACCTCTCTAAGAACCAAAACAATGCTCTTAGAGCATAAGCCCGATGTTGCTAAAACAAGCCAGCCCCAGCCAGACACGTTCCGAGAACACCCCGTGCAGACCATAAGAGGTTCTTAGCACATGCCTGGCTGGGCCTATAAGAGGCAAGCCAGGACGCCTCGCCGCTGCTCCCCCCCTTGTCCGCCCCCAAGGGCTCTGCGTGCCGCCGAACCGCCAGCAGCGGTGACGTCGTCGACGGCTGCGACGGCGATCTCTCCCCGGGCCCGCCTCCGGCGCCGGCGTCGGCCACGGCCAGCGTGTCGCGCTGGCCGTGGCCGACCATGTGGCCAGGGCCGCCCGGCGGCCTCTGAGGGTCGTCGTCGCGGTCGTCGTCCCCCTCGCTGCGAGCCGTCCTCCCCCGTGCTCCTGGCTCGCCTGCCCCCTGCCCCTGCTCCTTGCTCTCCTCCCCCTCCCTCCCTCCCTCCCTCTCTGCCCCCTCCCTGCTCCTCCGCTTTCTTGCCGTGCTCGTCGTCGTCGTGTCGTTGTCGATCCTACTTCCTCCTTCTCCTCCTCCTCGTCCTCCTCCCCCCTTCTCCTCCTCCCCCTCCAGATCCACGGTCCTCCCCCGCCTCCGCATCCCTCCTCCCACCTCCTCTTTCCTCTCCTCCCGACCCTCTTCGATGCTCGATCCTCCGTCCACATCTTCTCATGCCCTCCTCCTCCTCCTCCTACTCATCCTCCTCCACCCACTACTACTTATCATTATTATTATTCGAGCTTCGCGCTGAAGACACTGCTGATATGGATGACTGAAGTCCTCGCCTCCTCCTCCTCCTCGATCCCCCCTCCTCGACCTCCCTCCTTCGAGTTTCCATTATTCCCTCATCCTCCTTCTCGATTATACACCTCCCTCCTCGTCCTCCTCCTCCTCCTCCTCGTCATCCTCCTCCTTCTCTCTCGATGTTGTATTCTGTATTTTGCCAACACGTGGACCCCCCGACGTTAAGACCACTTCCTCAGGAGTTTGTTTTGTTCCGAGCCGTATTCAAGCGGTCCCGAGGTCTGGAAGACATGAACTGCTAACAAATTTCCTGGCGTGATGTTTCACAACGCGAGGAGGTCCGGGTCGTGCTCCTTGATCCGACTTCCTCCGCCTCGATCCTCCTCTCTCTAGAAGAACAACACTTGGCATACACATCATCCGTCGGAGGTCCGCGCGGAGGTTGTGGATCTTCGCTGAACCCCCATCCCAGGCGTGCTGCTTCGACACTCTATCCCCCTCCCTCCCTTAAAGGGCATGCTCTCGAGAAGCGGCATTCTCTCGAGAAGGCACACAACTCGTAGCGTGAGCGTGAACTTCCGGAAGTCCCCGCGGATTTCTTGGATCGGCGCTGGTCCACCCCTCCTTGGCGCGCTGATTCGACACTCTCAAGACAACGGCTCTCCCGGCCAGCCCACACTCGCTCAACATCGGTCCCTGGGCCGGGTCCGTGGCCTGGTGTCCGAGGCGACCGCAGCCGTGGCAGCCTCCAGGAGCCCACGAAAACAACAGAAAAACACAGAGGAGGGCCGCCGCTGTCGTGACTGGCCCTCCTTCGATCCCTTCCCTATCGATCCTCCCCCCCTCCCTCCTCGAGCCTCCTCGACCCCATTCTCTCCCTCCCTCCTCGATCCTCCTCCGATCCTCCTCGGTCCTACTGTCTCCCTCTCCGGTCCTCCTTCCTCCCTCCTCGGTACTCCTCGCGGCTCAGGACGGGGAGCGGGGAGAGGCACAGCGACGGCGCCGAGGATCGAGCAGGACGATGATCGAGAAGGATGGAAGATCGAAGAGCATTGTCGCGAAGAAGGAAAGCCTCAGGGCAGGGAGGAAGAACGCGGCCAGCTCGGACCTTCAGCTCGCAGGCGGATGGCACAAACAACCTCTAAACGGGGCGAAAGGCACACCCACTCCGCTATCATCGCCTGTCGCTGACCCGCAAAGCCACCACAGCCTCAACCTGGTAAGTCCTGTCGAGGAGGATGAGGGTGAAGGAACCCCTCCCTCCTCGGTCTCCTCGCGCCTCGGCGAAGGCGACGTCGCCGAGGAACGAGGATCGATGAGGAGTAGGATTGAGGACCGCGGAGTGAGGACTGAGGGCCGAGGCGGGCAGGGAGCCCGGCGACGTCGCCGAGAATCAGTGAGGAGGGGAAGGAGGATCGAGAAGGATCGGGGATGAACATCGAGGAGGGTGGTGGAGGAGGATGCTCGAGCAGAGTGGAAGGGGAAACTTGAGGAGGCTGGGGGGTGAAGGAGCCCCTCCGTCCTCGATCCTTCCTTCCCCTCCCCCCGCCGGAGGCCCGGCCTGCTGGCCGCTCCCCCCTCCAGGGGCGTCGGGGAGGGCACCGCCGGCAGGTCCACTGTCTCCACGGGGTCCTCGCCGGCCGCCGCCGCCGCACGGCCGACGCCGCCACCGCCGACGCCGCAGTCGTCGATCGATCGAGGACGGAAGCCGGAGTATAGGAATAGGAATAGGAATAGGAACCAATGGCGATGCCAATCCCGAGACTTGGGCTACCCACGGCCTCGCTGGGCCTTTTCGGCCTTGCAGAGGACCTTGGGGGGGAGCCCTTCGTGAATTCTCCTGAGATGCACTCGTCCTGTGGCTCCGAGGGAGAGGCGGAGGAGGAACAACGTTTCTTAGGCGCTTCGGAGGCTCTGGAACCTCTTGGCCCTACACGTACGGAGGTCTCCATGGGGACCCGACAAGATACCGATACCGCTACTCCGCGGACCTCTCCTGGGGTGCGCTCTGCGCAGGATTTCGACGCGAATTCAGCGGTGGCGACGAGGGTCTCCCAGGAGGCTCCCCAAAGGGGAAAACGGCAGAAGGGTAGAGGTATGGTAAGGTCGGGCATGTCCTCCTACAGGCGGGTATTGAACCAAACATTGAAGTAGTCAAACAATTGAAACATGGTCAAACATACTTTTAAAACATCGTCCCAATACTATGTTTGATTATTTTGGTGTTCCTCCTGTACAGGGACATGCCCGACTTAGTGGTATGGGTATCCAACTGCACCTGATATTAAAACCCTGGGAATGATGAAGTTCGGGGTCCAGGGGGGTAATACACGTTTTGTCCTGGGGATCGCAGCATAAAAGGACGTCGAGGGTGAGGATGCTGAAGATAATGATGATGCTGAAATTGATGATACCCTTGCCAGCACTCTGCACATCCTAAAGATGCCCCGCGCTCACGAAATCCTAGTAGTAGTAGTAGTAGTAGTAGTAGTAGTCGTAGTCGTAGTCGTAGTAGTGGTAATAGTAGTAGTAGTAGTAGTAGTAGTAGTAGCAGCAGTAGAGGTAGTACTAGTTATAAGAACAATAGCATTAGTTGTCGTAGACGTAATAAGAAAGTAGTAGAAGTAGAAGTAGTAGTAGTATCATCAGTAGAATTAATGATAGTAGATAGTTGACGTAGTAGAAATAATCGTAGAAGTAGTCGTAGTCGTGCCCGTAATAGTTTGAGTGGTAGGCGCAGTAGGCGTAATAGCTGTAGTCGAAGTGGTAGAAGTGGTCGTAGTAGAAGTATAAGTAGTAGTAGTAGTAGTAGTAGTAGTAGTCGTCGTAGTCGTAGTCGTAGTCGTAGTAGTAGTAGTAGTAGTAGTAGTAGTCGTAGTAGTAGTAGTAGTAGTAGTAGTGATGTTATTGGTAGCCGTCGTAGTAGTAGTAGTAGTAGTAGTAGTAGTAGTAGTAGTAGTAGCTAGCAAGTAGTAGTAGTAGTAGTAGTAGTAGTAGTAGTAGTAGTAGTAGTAGTAGTAGTGGTAGTAGTAGTAGTAGTAGTAGTAGTAATACTAGTCGTAGTAGCTAGTCGTAATGTTATTATGATTCTTAGTAGTAGCAGTAGTAGTAGTAGTAGTAGTACTAGTAGTCGTAGTAGTAGTAGTAGTAGTAGTAGTAGTAGTAGTAGTAGTGGTAACAGTAGTAGTCGTAGTAAACGTAGTAGTAGTAGTAGTAGTAGTAGTAGTAGTAGTAGTAGACGTAGTAGCAGTAGAAGTAGTCGGCGTAGAAGTAGTGGTGGTAGTAAAAATTATATGAGAAATAATAGCAATAGTAGTGGTGAGTAGTAGTAGGTAGTGGTAGTGGTAGTGGTAGTGGTAGTGGTAGTAGTAGTAGTAGTAGTAGTAGTAGTAGTAGCAGTAGTAGTAGTAGTAGTAGTAGTAGTAGTAGTAGTAGTAGTAGTAGTCGTAGTAGTAGTAGTAGAAGTAGTAGTAGTAGTAGCAGTAGTAGTAATAGTAGTAGTTGTATAGTAGTAGTGATAGTAGTAGTATCAGTAGTAGTAGTAGTAGTAGAATTAATGGTCGTAGTCGTAGTAGTAGTAATCGTGGTAGTCGTGATAGTGGTAGTAGTGATAGCAGTAGTAGTAGTAGCGGTCGCAGTAGTCGTAGTAGTAGTAGTACTGGTAGTAGTAGTAGTGGTCTAGTAGTAGAAATAGTCGTAGCAGTAGCAGTAGTAGTCGTAGTAGTAGAAGTAGTCGTAGTAGTAGAAGTAGTCGTAGTAGTAGTAGTAGTAGTAGTAGTAGCAGTAGTAGTAGTAGTAGTATGGGTAGAAGTTGGTAGTAGCAGTAGAAGTAGTAGTCGTCGTCGTCGTCGTCGTCGTGTTCGTCGTCGTCGTCGCCGTAGTAGTAACAATAGTAGTAGTACTAATAATAGTAGTGGTCGTGGTAGTAGTAGTAGTAGTAAAGACAGTCGTCGTCGTAGTAGCAGTAGTAGTAGTAGTAGAAAGAGTGGTCGTAGTCGTAGTAGTAGTAATCGTGGTAGTCGTAATAGTCGTAGTAGTGATAGTAGTAGTGGTAGTAGTAGTAGTAGTAGTAGTAGTCGTCGTAGTAGTCGTAGTAGTATAAGTAGTCGTACTGGTAGTAGTAGTAGTAGTAGTAGTAGTAGTAGTAGTAGTAGTAGTAGTAGTAGTCGTAGTAGTAGAAGTAGTCGTAGTAGTAGTAGTAGTAGTAGTAGTAGTAGTAGTAGTCGTAGTAGTAGAAGTAGTCGTAGTAGTATAACTAGTCGTAGTAGTCGTAGTAGTAGTAGTAGTAACAGCAGTAGTAGTAGTAGTAGTAGTAGTAGTAGTAGCAGTAGTAGTAGTAGTATAGTAGTAGTAGTAGTAGTAGTAGTAGTAGTAGTAGTAGTAGTAGTAGTAGTACGTAGTAGTTGTAGTAGTAGTAGTAGTAGTAGTAGCAGCGCAGCGCAGCAGTAGTAGTAATAGTAGTAGTAAGTAGTAGTAGTAGTAGTAAGTAGTAGTAGTAGTAGTAGTAGTAGGTAGTTGTAGTAGCAGCAGTAGTAGTAGTGTAGTAGTAAGTAGTAGTAGTAGTTACAGTAGTAGTAGTAGTAGTAGTAGTAGTTAGTAGTAAGTAGTAGTAGTAGTAGTAGTAGTAGTAGTAGTAGTAGTAAGTAGTAGTAGTAGTAGTAGTAGTAGTAGTAGTAGTAGTAGTAGTGCAGTCGTCGTCGTAGGAGTAGGAGTAGTAGTAGTAGTAGTAGTAGTAGTAGTAGTAGTAGTAGTAGTAGTAGTAGTGGTGGTCGCAATAATAGTGATCGCATTCGTAACTGCAGTAGTAGTCTGAATATTCAGGGTCGTCGTAGTAGACGTAGTAGTAAAGGTCATAAGGAATATTGTATAGCCCTGCCACACGTGGGATGATGATGTTGATCGTCAACAAAGAAGATCGCAACTTCGACTCGCAATTTTCCCCCGTGGTAATACAGTTCGGCCTTGCCGCCCCTCACCTCCAATCAAATCTGCTCTGGCTGGGGGTAATAGACTCTCAGGGGTTAAGGGGTGGATGCTTTATCATCTAGGGCATGGGGTTACCTTTTCCTCCTCCGACTCCAGGCGCGACCCCAGGGGACCTCGCATTCCAGATGCCTCTGGAGGCCTCCGAAGGTCGTCGGAGTCCGTCGTCGGCCGTCGTCACCGTCGAAGTCGACGCCGCCGCCGTCTTCGTCGAGGTTTGAACATACTTGGGTGCTTCGTCCCTCCTCTGAGCTCCTCGCGCCGTGAGAACACAGCGGATGGTTTTTGCTAAAACTTTCGGCCAGAAGGTGGGCCCTCACAGGGCGCCGGGACTGCCCAGAAACGACCCAGGATGAAACACCGATCCAAGGACGTGGGCTAAACCTCCGAGCAACTACGTTGTGGCGGGCACGCAATGGCATGAACATGAAAAACTAGGATGTCCGCCCATGTTTCTCGGATCGGCGGTGAACCCGCCCTCTGGCGCGCGTAGCGCCCCAGTGGCGGTGCCAGAGGCGCCGCCAGGGGGCCCCAGCGCCGATCCGAGAAACCCGCGCAGATGTCATAATTAGAATGTACATGTCATTGTTGGTTCCCCAATGCGGCCCTGTTTCGAAGGGCCCTTGGACACACACACACACACACACACACACACATATATATATATATATATATATATATATATATATACATATATATATATAAATATATATTATCCAGGCGAAGGACCCAAGAGCATCGCAATCGGTGGCGCTCCCTATGGGGCCACGAACCGCATGAGGGGTGTGCCGAAATGTGGCGGGGTACACGACGCAAAGAAATACGATAGATCCGATTACGAGAGAAAGAACGCGGGTGAGTCAGAGCGCGAGGGAATCTGAGTATGAATGGGTATGCGCGCGAGTGAATATATTTGCATGAATGCGATCATGGAACCGCCTAGTGTAAGTGTCGAGCATGCCTGTCCGAACACACGTGACACTGGGCGTGGCCGCCGCAGGCAGCTTCCGCGGGAACCCCGACGGCAGCGTCCGCACGTCGCGACGCCCATGTCGGCGCGCCTCTTGCGAGGATCGCGCCCGCTTTCGGCTCTTGCTGTCCTTCCTCTTTGCCCGCGCACTCCAAAATCCAAGGCTGCGGGCGCAGCGCAGCGCGGAGTCCCCGCGACGCGCGCTGGTCGCCCCGGGCGGGGTCCCAGCGACGCGCGCGGGTCGTCCGCTGCGCGAAGCAGAGAGAGCTGACTAGCTAACTGGCTGGCTGATAGCGGGCAAGTCTCTGACCGCTGGGCAGAGCGACGACGGGCGAACGAGGCGCCGGGCCCCCCCGCAGCACGGAGTTCCCGCGACGCGCGCCGGTCGCCCCGAGAGGGTCCCAGCGACGCGCGCGGGTCGTCCGCGGCGCGAGGCCAAACAATTAGTCGGGCAGTCGAGAGAAGGCGCGGCTCGGGGGAGACGCTCCTCAGGTCAGGCCTCGCGGATGAACTCGGTGAAGCCGAGCTCCCTGGCGAGGGCCGTCGCTTCCCTCCTGCACCGCTTCGTGCGCGCCGCAAACTGCTCCAGCTGCTTCCGCAAGCCCTGCGGCGGCCCTGCCAGGAAGAACTCGATGCGCGGCGCCCGCATGAGCAGGAGGTCCTCGTGGCGCGTGGCGCGCGAG